ACCATGGAACAGTGATGATCCCAGCCAGCCGGTCACTCAGCCAGGCAGATCACGAGCTGCGGCGACGCTGTCATGCATACTCATCACTCGCCGACTCTCAAAGTGCTAAACCCGATTTAATTGTTTGGAATTAACACCAGGAAGCATTTATATTCTTGTTGCTTATAGACTATATTCCTGGCAGCTAACAACCTTGCTTGTTAAACATGGGTTATACCGCACTCTCAAGTCCTCAACTAACAGGTAATGTTTACGTTATCATAACCAACATTGTAAATGCAATCTGTTAAGTAATGGCTCCCGAATATTTACGTTTTCCATACATCAGACTCAATAGGTTAGGTGGGAGGCTTGGGTTTCTGGTTAGGAGGTTGGGATATAAGTGGCAAATCAAGAGAATGAGCTGGTTGATTAGCCTACTTGAAGGCTAGATTAGAAGGCAGGGGGCCCAAAGAGACCTCCATAGCAGGAATGGGGCGGAACCACCAAAACGGGAGGGGATGGAGGGAGAGTAAGAGGTAGGGGGCGAGGAAGAAAGCGAAACCTTCTTACCCGCCGGGGAGGAGGAAGGAGAGGAGCCAGGCTTATGCTTCTGACTCAAAAAGACAGGCGTCCCAGCAACAATGTACTGGGCAACAAATCCCAGCGTCTCCACAGGAGAAAGAGAACGAGAACAAACACGACGGCCGTTGGGAGAGCTATGGACATCAGCCCGCACTGACAGGCGGCGTGGAGAGCGAAGAGACTGAGGAGAAAGATGGGAAGGAGGATCGGAGGGGGACGAGGAAGACGACATAGGAGACACGACAGACTGGGAAGAAAGAAGGAAAACCCCAGACAGAGGCAGGAGGGACACCCTCCGGGACAGAACGCAAAGGAACAGAAGAGGAGGCGGTGGGCATGTCTGGGTCTAAGGCCCGGAATCGGTTGCGAGATTGAGGAAGGCGAGAAGGACGAGGAGACGAAGAGCTCAACACGCGAGCATAAGAGACGTTAGCTTGAGGGGGGAGATGGCAAACTTGGCGCGGCACCTCGCCTCAGGAAAAGACAAACGTTCCCGGTGCTTCAAGTTAAGAACGGCTGCCTGATGTATACACGTGCGGGAGAAGGCAGGGTGGGCCTCAACGCAATTGAGGCAGCGAGCCTGGGGAGAAATGCACTCCGACTTAGTGACCCTCGTCCCCACACACAGGACAGAGACAGTACTGGAGCAGCGGTGGGTGGGCTCCATGCCCAAACCTCCAGCACTTATTACAGAGCCGAGGAGAGGGAATGTACTCCTGAACGGAGCACCTGGCATCAGCAAGAATGACAAGAGGGCAGAAGGGCCCTACCATCAAAGGTAATCTTCACAACCCGAAGGGGTTGACGGCGACGACCACGACGGGGACGAGTAAACGAGTCCACCTGGAGGACAGAATGGCCTTGGGCTTCGAGGACATGCCGAATATCATCGTGGCAGTCCTGCAGATTCCGAGCACCGGTCACAACCTGGGGCGGGAGGAGAATAGTGCCAACACTGGCATTCAACCGAACGTTCTTGGAGACCCGAACAGGGGTCTCGCCAAGGCGGCCAAGCGGGAGGCTGCATCCTGAGGAGCAGCAGCAACGACACGTGTACCAAAACGGGTGGGGTTGAAGGTAACGGAGGCATCCACTGAATCAACAAGGTGCTTATGGAGGTAGAAATTGTCAGGATGTGTAGAATCAAGAGGGAGGAGATCAAAGTATTTGGCCCACGAAGCAGGACCAAACAAGGCTTGAAACGCATCAGTACGGGAAGGAATCGAGCGAGCGTGGCCGTGGCGAGGACAGCATTCAGAATCCCCAGAGAGAGAGAGGGGTTAAAAGGCACAGTAGTCACTACTTTAGACCGAGCCGTGTCAGGGGACGAGGTGGTCACCACTAGGGGCTTGGGGCTCGACCCAACCACAGAGGAGGGAGGGAAGCCAAGCGGAGTAGTCCAGAGGGTCAGAGGAGGAGCAAGGTCGGGGCCCAATGCAGCGGGGGCTACAGAGCCCAGTCTTCCAACACGGTCCAACTCGGGGGCTTAGTCGCCCACCCCACGAGCCTGAGAAGGGATAAGAACAAAAGAATTCGACACGAAACAAGAGGAAAAAAACATTCACGAATGTGCCCCATACCCACCATAGAGTCACAATTAGAGGCAGGACACCCAACAAGAAGCTATCGCCGATCATACCAGGCCCCCAGGGGTGCGTCGTGAGTATACGCCCCACAAACGCCACCTTAAGAATCGTCAGTCCGTCGAGATCGGGTTCAGTGACGAAAGGAGGATTGACAATAAAAGGTTCTCCTCGCTCTCGACGTTGGGTACTACAGTTCTACGGGTGCAAGAGTATGCCTCCTCAAGCACCCGGGCGTCAAAATAGAAGAAGTCCAAAAGAATAACTAAAAGAAGCAAAAGGTCGGCAGGAAACGACAAGCAGATAGGAGAAGAGGGGGGAGAAAAACGAAACATAAGGAAAAGGAAAAGCGAATAGCATATTATATGCTATTATAATAATTTATATTTAAGAAAATTCCTGTTTTGAATGAACAGCATATACAAATTGATGAATGCGTCTGTGGGGGACGACCGCTTGATATAACGGACGGCTAGATTAACGAGCTTGAATCATTGTAAGGACGGCCTGTAATTTAACGCTAGAGACAATAAAGACCTCGAACGTCAGTCAAGTTAAAAACAAAAATACATTAGCTATAACTAGGCAGTTGTCGGGGCATAAATAGCTAGTAGACAAAACTCCAACATCCACAGCTTTTCAGGTAGTCATGTTAAGTAAATATTCAGCATTTTCAAGTAGCCTAAGCATTATTAAGTAAAGATTATTAGGTAGCCTAAGAGCTGGTAAGCAAGCACTTAAGACAAGCAAAAGCTTAATTGGTTTATAAGGCGGAAATTATGTGGCTTACACAACCTAAGCTTCATAACGGTCAAATGAGTAATTGTAAATATCGGTATAACTGTCAGTGTGGCTCCATGTCATTTCCCGCGCAAAGGTGGTCTCTTTGTTACCTAGCTGTTAACTAGCCAAGTTTCCATAATACCACAACCATAATATGGTACATGGTTACCATAAATACTAAACTATACCACAAACTGTTAACAATAACATGGAGGAAAAACATTTCATTCCCTTTGATCACTCACGGGCTTCCACTTTTATGGGCCTGTGTTCCAGGCCCCGATGGTCCAAGGACAAACTGGCCACCTATGGCCTGTGTCTTATCTTTCTCACAGATCACCAAAGAGCAGAGACTGGCAGGCAGGCACAATAACAAAACACATGAACATCATACAGAAATCAAAGGATGCGTTCAAGATGCTATATACAACACGTTCGACCAGAAAGCATGCAGCACCGGCGTGGAATCCCACCTCAAAAACCACCAAATAACTGTTGAAATAGAACAGAGGCATAATGCAAGACTTGCTCCCAAAATTATGAGCGACTGAGATACACAGACTGATGGAACTAAATTTAAACACTAGAAACAATGAGGTCAAGAGTCATTGCATTAGACAATCGACAGGTGGCAAGGCGGCACCCAGGAGATGAAGCTTAGTCCTGCTAACAATCAGCTAAGTATTGTTATACAAGCACACACACACACACACACCAATTCCAGAGCCCAGGGAAAGTACGCCCCGGTTGGATAAACCCAGACTATAGCTTAAGGCTGTTTGAGCTTCTACCTCTGACCTCTCCCATGGTGCATCCCACACTCTCAACTCTCCTCTCCCAAGGCCCCCACGCCTCTTCCAGGGCCCCACACGCCTCTCCTAGGGGGCCACATTCCCCTCCCAGCCCCCAGGGCCCCCCCACAACCACTCACCTCTCCAAGGTCCGCCCCCCCCCCTCGCCAATGCACTCAGGGACGGTGCAAAATTCTGGTTTGTGTTGAGGTCTGGGTACCACTCTCCCAGCACCCCGAGTACCACTCCTCCATGCACCGTCCCCCTGGTTCCTCGATGGTGAATACCTTGGTCAAGACAAGGCAACGGCTTAGCAACTTCCTAGGTTGTTGTTAGATTCTCGATATTAGTGGTGCTCCAGGGAGGGTTTAAAGTCTCAGTTGGGTATCCCCTTCCCCCCCCTCTCTAGAGCCTTCCTTATCGTGAGTTAGATCTGGTTTGTTTTACAAACTCTTAAGTACTTGACTCAAAACCTTACAATAAGAAATGTATTTATTTCTTGGGAATAAATCAAGTTGGTGTGATAAACTCGCGTTGCATGCAACTTTGAAAACGATAAAAATCTCTATAGATCGGCACAAGTTCGTGTTTAGTTTTCTCGAGGTTGTAGTAACTGTAGCATTAACTCCTGTACCTCGTGGAAGTACAGGAGCGCTACAGTGAGATTACAGTAGCAGACACTACCACTAGTACCCCGGGAGGCAGATCTTAAAAGTTCAGCCATATGTAACAATTATAATACTTATCTAAAACATTACTTGTATCTCTTCACACTGCTACACCCAGTTCCAGTAAGCATCGTCAGCATAACCGTAGCGAGAGCCTCCATATAAACGTTCATTATGTATTAACTAAGTAGCTCTATCACAGTGATATGAAAAGCCTCGCAGGTTAAAGCCATACTTGGTGCACTAAAGCAAGCCCCAAACCATCTCCTCCCCCCCCCCACCTTCACAATTTTCCTATTTCTTGTCCGAGACAATGTACTGTAGACACTGACTCTACAGACACTCCTGTTGGACAGGGTTCGACTCCCACAGTGGGAGGAGATGTCAGGTACGATATGGATCCACTATACCTATGTGCATACGGACAAGGTCAGCCGTATCCCAGCCTAACAATTGCAACACTTGCGCTGCAGGAATCAGCTGATTGGATAACCTTGCCCTTCAAGCAGGCAGAACTGCCAACACCCCACCTCGTTATTCGTAGACTTTTTCACTTTGCATAACATCAGAAATGAGACGAAGACAATGAAATAATAAAATATGTGGCCTACCTACTCGAACACAGAAGTAAAGTAGAGTACGTACACTGCTCCCAACAACGTCTGGCACGACACTGAGACTGGTGGGGCCCAAATGGGTCTCCTTTACCTGTCAGACAACTTAGGTTGCCAGCTAGCTTCGCAGCTGGCCACAACCTCGAAGCCAGCTTCGCAACTGACGCTCTGAATCAACGAATCATTTACACACTAAATTCTAAATTAACTCATTCTATTTCAAGAAACATTCATTTAATATATGTAATGTACTCATATTTCTTTTTGAAGTGATAAATGAGTGCATTTATGTTAAAATGCGTGTATGAAGAATGCAAGGATTCGAGGCTTCATAAAAGGTGTGGGTACTTTGTTATTTGTTTCTCATAGTTATCTGTAGTTAATGTTAAGAATTTCAATTCTTGCATCAATTTCTTCCTTGTCATCGGTGTTTTACAGAGGCTTCTCGGCAAGGACGACTTGTGGTGGTTTATGGCAAAGAATGTTATATTCCAGACAAAATACTGCTTGATGTTTGTAAATAAACATCATTCAAAACACACAAATCACAATAGCGTGATGCATCAAATGGTGATGCATCACGCTATTGTGATTTCTGTGTGTAATGAAGTAAGGGCAAAGAGGTAGAACAGCTTGTTGATAGAGCTAGAGTGCATGGGGGGTTTTGTGTAAAATCCTGGTTTGTGTCTCGGAGAGGCTGCAGGATCCGAGTAAGATCGGTAGAATTTAAATTTTGCCCCGAGGGGCGAGTTTATTGGGCAGCGCCACTCATCTTGTGAGTGGACACACCGCCATTGTAGCATATACAACACTCCCCAATAGGAAGAAAACTCGCTGGGTTGTTCATCCTGTCACTTGTACCCAGACACAGCTGGGACTTGCTTAACTGTCTCAAGTGAACAGCTCCTCAAACAAGAAGATTAACATCTATCAACCCTTAAAAGCTTACTTTATCTTGCGGGTGCAAAATGGGGAAATCTTTTAAGAACAGTATCAATATTTGACAAATAGTGTTTTCCTAACTCAAACAATGTGGGGTGTATTATTCTACACATACTTCTGATGTCTCTCAGGTGTTCACATTCACGTTGATAGTGGTCAAGGCGGTGTCCATCACTCTCACCACAGATTAGAATTTCCGGTTGCGATTCTTTTAACCGTGTCGTAGCTCAGTCGATTAAGGGAGCGTCTGGGATCCTCTCGGACGTAGGTTCGAACCCTCGTCACGGCCTTTGTTGATTTGTTCATCATTCAAACGTATCTTTTTCTGAGATTCGTCCAGTAACTCAACACTGAACCACAATTTGTAAAATAACATACGAACAACTATAAATTAACAACCCTGTTTCCAAACCAGTATTTATACCCAGGTCTTTTCCTAAATCTAAACCTATATATATTTTTTTTCTAGGTCAACTAACACTACGAAAATATTGTTAACTAATCCGGATTATAATATTTCATACTAGGAATCACGATAAGTTTTCTCTCGTTGCCTTGAGCAATTTGTGCTCAGGTCAGGTATTCCCACAGTGTAAAATCGAGTAATTTTAAATACCATCTGCAAATTTAACATGACAGTAGCACACATGTGAGCTATCATGTTTTAGGGCCAAGAACTGGAACTAGTTAGGCTGCTCAGCGCCATGTATTTTCCTAGAATACGATCCGGCAAACGTTTGCTGGATCACTGGCTATCAGTGCATGAACGGTGTCCAATCATCTCTCCCTCTACAGGGTTCGAATTCGTTCTCGATTGCGCAACCCGTCCTCGACTCAAGTCCATTACATTCAGCGGTCAACCCCACAGACGCATTCATAAATTTTAACATGCTGTGTACTCAAAACGGGAATTTTCTCAAGTATAAATTAATATTATAATATATTAGCATATTGCGTATATATAGGCATAGGATAGGTTAGGTCAGGTGTTTAGGTTCTGTTGGCGATTATTTGTATTTGTAGTACGTGGGTGAAGCATTTATAGCGTTGTGATTCGAACAAAATTCGTCAGTGAAGCACTTGTTCCGGATATGTTCGAACGTCAGCAGTTGTGAGTCGTGTGTAAACCGCTTTTCATTCATAAACAGGGGGTTTGGCGGGTGCATGGAATCACTTTTGGATCTTTGTTTGGAGGACGGGCTGCGATTGCGAGGCAAGCGTATAAAACAACCCGTCCTCCAAACAAAGACCCAAAAGTGATTCCATGCACCTGCCAAGCCCCCTGTTTATGAATGAAAAACGGTTTACACGCGACTCACAACTCACAAATGATTTCGTTCGAACACTTCCGGAACAAGTGCTTCACTGACGAATTTTGTTCGAACTACAACGCTATAAATGCTTCACCCACGTACTACTAATACAAATAATCGCCAACAGAAGCTAAACACCTAACCTAACCTATGCCTAACTATACATATATTCTTTTATGTATATTAATTTATATAGGAGAACAATCAATGTTTAATACACAGTATGTTAAAATTGACGAATGCGTCTGAGGGAGGACGGCCGCTGCTGTAAACAGCCTAGTGTAAGGATGGGTTGTGTAAGTTGTGTGTAAACCGTTTTCCATTCATAAAGAGGGGGTTTGGTGGGTGCATGGAATGGTCTTTGGACTTTGTTTATAAGGACGGGCTGCAACCCGTCCTTAGACTAAATCCACTACCATGAGAACCCCTCCACCCCTACCCCCACCCCGTCAAACCACATGGATAGTTATCTAAACTTTTGTGATGGTCTGAAAACATATTACGGTTCCAGTAATAGTCTACATGTAAACTGGCATATGAACCTTTGTCGTAAATAGAGATTATTCTCAAGTTATAACTTTAAAGTAAAATAAATCATTGGTTTAAAATATAAAAAGTGCATGCTGAAAAAGTTTTCTATGAAAATTGTGATTTTCTGTAAACCGGAATTCGTAGGCCCACTGAAAGAGTTTTCGAATTTCATATTTTCACATTATCGTCAATAATACATCGTATTAACGTAAGCAAACGTAATGAAACCTAACCTAACCAAACCTTAACCTAAAGCAACGTTAAGCTAACCTAACCATGGATAGAGAGTAGATAATAGCACAAATTATGTAGACGTTCCCAATCTACCTCCTTGAAGGGGGACCTCCTCCCTGAGGTCAGGTTGTCTCAGGTGCAAAGGGAGGCAGAGAGAACCAATCATACCATTTTCGATTCGACTATCTGTTCCTCGATGTTGGGGAGCGTCTTCCCACCACTGTGGTGGGGAGCGTATCCCCTCTACTGTGGTGGAGACCGTGTCCCCTTTATTGTGGTTGGGAGCGTGTCCCCTCCACTGTGGTGGAGACCCCCCTCTACTGTGGTGGGGACCGTGTCCCCTCTATTGTGGTGGGGAGGTGTCCCCTCCACTGACCCACTGTGTGTGTGTGTGCAGGTGTCCGGTATGTAATATCTTCACAGCGTGCCAGTTTATGTCCGTTACACAACAATGTCTCGATATCCGTTGATTTCTCCGAATAATTCCCCACTTTACTTGTTGAATTTAGCTTTGAATTTGTAGCAAAAGGACTAAAACTTATTTTTTTTTTTTATGTTTCGTCACTTTTAGATATACCTTCACTTGTAAATTATTTCAATTGATTAAAGGCTTCGTGACAAGATTTATTACAGAGGAGCAGGTAATACGTTTGCAGTCGTCTCTTACAGAGTGGACTTGTTGATAACATTATCTATATTATCACCTATAATTAACACAGAACAGTTTACCGAAAACGTTGATTAATTCCCCCCAGGAAAAGTAGTTATTATCTCTGTACGTATATCGTGTGCCAAGAAACAGGTCATACAGGGCCCACATTACCATAGGCTCTCGAAAATGAGGTCGAAGTGATAAGAGGATGTGTTTTATCAGCCACCTGGGCGTTGTCAACACAGGAAGGGAGAGAGAGAGAGATAGAGAGTGCGCCTTCCTTTACCGATTTGCTTGGCCTCAGCTAACCTCAATACCCGAGGGTCACCTAAATTTCCTTTCAAGTTTCTCTGAATAGGGAAAACACGTTGTATAAATGATTACGCAGATCACAACAAAGCCTCAGATGTATTCTTTGGCATGAGTGAGGTCAATTCTGCGTAAGGCGTCCGCCAGGGGGGCAATCCACTGCTTGCGTGCTTGATTTCTTAAAATCCATTTGGGAGATTACGAGGAGTGAGCCCAGCGCGTCGTTCCTTGACGACGGGATTCCGGCAGGCAGACAGGCAGACAGACAGACAGAAAGGGAACTACCAGCAGAAAGCTCCAAGCCACTATGACAATATAGCACTTGGAAAGGGATCAGGATAAGGATTTGGGATGGGACAGAATACTTCAATATGTCAGCCAGTCAACTAGTCATTAATACCAAGATAGAGGGCTCACCAGTAGGGCACCGGCGTGGAGTAACAGGGACACTCTCTACTATTCCCAGACATTTGGACAGAAAAAAATCAAATAAATTTTTAATTCGTGTAAACTTGAAAAAAAAAAATCAAGCGAGTTACCGCTGGCACAGGAACCAACATCACCATTCTAGCAAGAATATCCCTGTATGGTGAATCACTCTCATCTTGCCGTATTACATGGGTAGACTAGTCATGGCAAAACTTAAAACCAAAAAAAAATTTTCCAACCCCATATTTAAGGAGTACAAAAAAATATTAAATGTAAAAACCCACTACTTAGAAAAACCCACATCCTTAGAGAGTATGAGACACTGTCAACTGTATTCAATCTGACAGGCTTAAAAAAATGTTCCGATAGAAACTTGTGAAATCTATTTCAGAAGAAAGACATAAGTAGAAAGTCTGTAAGTAGAAAGACTAAGCATGTATGTCTTTTTTATTGTAGTGAAATTATAAATAGAAATCAATAATAACGCAAATTATAACATGGCAACAATGACATTGATTCTAACGAATGAGATAATTACCAAAAATTAAAATACTAATGCATATGAATTTTTAGAACAAAAGGAAAAGTTGGTATTTTTTTATGGCTACGTCAAGCAAGGTAAACAGTAAATTCTCTTTGGCAAGGACTGGTTTTTATTTTAAAATTAAAGTTCAGAGGAAATGCTTCTAGTCTGCAGAATAATCTGATCTGTGTACTCACCTAGTTGTGCTTGCGTGGGTTGAGCTCTGGCTCTTTGGTCCCGCCTCTCAACTGTCAATTAACCGGTGTACAGATTCTTGAGCCTACTGGGCTCTATTATCTACATTGGAAACTTTATTCACCTAGTTGTGCTTGCGGTGGTTGAGCTCTGCTCTTTCGGCCCGCCTCTTAACCGTCAATCAATCAACTGATCCCCCCTCCCCCCCCACACACACAAGAAGCAGCCCGTAACATCTGTCTAACTCCCAGGTACCTATTTACTGCTAGGTAACAGAGGCATGAGGGTGAAAGAAACTATGTCCATTTGTTTCCGCCATCGCCGGCGACCGGTCCTTAGGATTACGAGTACCAAGCGCTGTCCACTCAGCCACAGGCCCCTACTGTGTATGGAGTCTACCTCCACCACATCACTGCCTAATGCATTCCATTTGTTAACTACTCTGACACTAAAAAAGTTCTTTCTAACGTCCCTGTGGCTCATTTGGGTATTCGGTTTCCACCTGTGTCCCCTTTTTTGCGTACCACCCTCCTTTAAACAGTTTATCTGTGTATTCACTGAGGTGAATACACAGATAAATAGATAATACACAGGTTGTGAGGGTGTGTGCTTGCGACACACCCCAGGAAGCAGCCCGTGACAGCTGACTAACATCCAGGTACCTATTTACTGCTAGGTAACTGGGGCATCAGGGTGAAAGAAACTCTGCCCATTGTTTCTCGCCGGCGGTGGGAATCGAACCCGCGACCACAAGATCAATCGTCCAGTGTGCTGTCCAGTCAGCCACCGGCTCCCTGGTAAACTGTGCGATTCTGAGCCAGTGCTTTCTGGCTCTGATTCTGTCATTTTGGGCTCTAATCCTGAGATCCTAGGCTCTGATCTTATGAGTAATGATCCTATGATGTAAAGCTTAATCCTGTGATCTTCGATTCTGATTCCTTGAGCTTGGAATCTGATCCTATATGATCTTTGGCTGATCCTGTGATCTTGGCCCCATCGGCTTTCAGGTGCAATTTAGAGAGGTAGAAATAGCCTAAGCTACTCTATCCCTTTGAGATGTATTTTTTTTCTTGTCTCAATAAACATACTTGAACTTGGTGCAATTTATATGCAGTAAATACAACCTTTTTCCCTTCTTTCACTGTCAAGCGTCGCGACACTTCATGACACCTTCGTGATAAACGCATTACAAAGATAGCAATTTAAAGGTTATACAGATGTTTTATCGATACCAAAGTCGGCGATTGGTGACTGTTTAATGGTGCCATGTGGAGATGTGCAACAACCAATCCACACTTTGGTGCCGATTATTTGTCCTATAGAAACAAAAGGACTTAAGTGTGTTGACCAGACCACACACTAGAAATTGAAGGGACGACGACGTTTCGGTCCGTCCTGGACCATTCTCAAGTCGATTGAGAATGCTAGGACACATGGTATAGGTGGGGTATATCGAAAAGGACTTAAGTGTTAACCAAGGTCAAGACTGATCAATTATTTACTCGCATCAACTCCCGAGACTTTGACATCTTTTCTCAATTGTTGTTGTTGTTGTTTAAGATTCGCTACTTAGAGCAAAAAGTTCTAAGTAGCACGGGTTATTGTGAGCCCGTAGTGGACTTACCTGACACAGGAGCGGGGCTGGTTTTTTTTTTCTCAATCATGGCGACTTTGTTTATATAATTCCACGTAACGTGGTAGAGGTGGGGTATATTGATTTTTTCAAGCGTGGGTTGGACATGTATATAAGTGGGACTGGGTGGTTATAAATAGGAGCTGCCTCGTATGGGCCAATAAGCCTCCTGCAGTTATCTTTATTCTTATGTTCTAATATTAAATAAACAGTTTATGAGCTTGGAAGCACTACCCTGGAAACACAAACCGACAAACCGAAACTGTCTCTATTTCCCGCTTGTTACAACTTGCAATAAAGTTGTTACATCTTGGCTTAACGTGTTTATGACGTATTAGAACGTTGTTACAACTTGCTATATTGGTTGTTATAACTGGTTAGGAGGTGTTAAAACTTGTTCGAACGTTGCGCCAACGTCGTAGTTTCGGTGTGAGTTTGGCGGGTAAGATATTGTTTATAGCAATAATAACCTCGGGTTATGGTGGTTGGAAGCTCGTAAACTGTTTAATGAATGTAAACAAAGCCGCCATGAATGAGGAGAGATGTACAGGTTTCGTAAGAGTTAGCGTAAATGTTTGATGAATCCTAGCCTAGATTATTATGGAGGAATTGTTGTATATTTAGCCTAAAGATTACCTCCCAAGACACATGGTAATTCAATCCCACAAAAACAAAAAAAATTGACTTTTCGCATCAACATCTTTGCAAAATTGTTCCAGCAAGACGTCTCGTAGGTGATTATGTCGTTTCCACGAGTCGAAGACCGCGAGTCTGTCTTGGGCTCCGCCTTGAGAGGAGGAGGACCAGGTGACTGTAACTCTCGCTCACGAGTTAAGGCTGTTGCCTCTTGCTATTACCTCCCTTAACTGATGCGAGACGGAGCTTGCGTCTTCAAGGTCGTAATACCAGATTGGGGGGGGGGGGGGGGCAGGAGGAGGAGGAGGAGGAAGCGCAGGCTGACTTGCAGTAGGAAAATGTTTACACTTATCTAGTTCCTTGGGTCTTGTCTCCTCCCTCCCTCCTTCCTTCTCCCATGCACTCCGTCATCCTCTCTCTCTCTCTCTGTCTCCATCTCCACCCACTGAATAAGTATATCATGTAATAATGTAATTTGTACACACGGAATAATTTGTGAGCATGTGTGAAAGTATATATATATATATATATATATATATATATATATATATATATATATATATATATATATATATAATTATGGTAACCAACCCCCCCAACACTGAGCCACTGAGCCATCAACCCCCAACACTGAGCCATCAACCCCAACACTGATCCATCAACCCCCCCAACACTGAGCCATCAACCCCCAACACTGATCCATCAACCCGCCCCAACACTGAGCCATCAACCCCAACACTGATCCATCAACCCCCCCAACACCGAGCCATCAACCCCAACACTGATCCATCAACCCCCCCCCCAACACTGAGCCATCAACCACCAACACTTCTCCAACAGTACATCGCATTTTGACGTAGAAAATATGAAAAAATTATGTAGTATAAATCACCTTTGGCCTTAATCTTCACTATATCTTGGCTGTGATGGACTAAAAATATCCACCGTTAGACGTGGCTGGTGTTGACACAAGGCTTGTAGGGGGTCAAGGAAACACGAAGCTGAAAGCTGCTGCTATTTTTATTACAAAAAGCTAAGAGGAACAACAAAATAATATTACTATTTACAAGACACGTGTGACTGGTGGAGGCGGGAACCCACATTGTCGGGCAGGGGGAAGATGGTGACCTCCAGAGGGTGACCTCCAGAGGGTGACCCCTGACACCTGGTGCCCCTGAAGGGCCCCCCACACCAGATGGTAGTGCAGACGGGGCGGGGGGTTAACGGAGAGGTCGACGACAGTCTTGGTGACTAGAGAGCGTTATGACCTGTCGCAGTCCCCAAGCTCAAGGTCTTGGATGGGACCTTCCCCCGTAACCTCAGGGGTGTGGAGAGAGACATGGGACCGCTGCAGGTGGGTGTATCCGCTAGTCCAGTGGTGAAGTGTAGGTGGGATTTGTCGAAAGGTGAGATTAGGTTGTTAGGAAGGTTAGTAAGTCCGGACGGAGAAGGATAGTCAGCGTCAAGCAAGGATAGTCAGCACCGTCGGAGAAAGATAGTCAGCCTTCCCTAGGAAGGTTAGTCAGTTCCCTGTCGGAAAACATCAACGTTGACCGTCACGATGGGGGGGATAAAGTGATGACGCTGTGATGTTATAGTCACCGCCCAGAGGGTGGTGGTGTGTGGTGACGCGAGGTCGTCGCTTGTAGAAGCGTTGTAGAGCAATGGTTGTAGTTTGTGTGGTAGTAACGGTCTTGGTGATGTCTGCCACACGTAAACCCCCCCCCCCCCCCCCGCCCTGGACGTGCCGAGAACGTCAGCGGCGGCGGGGGTGGTGTTGACACGCTTCAAGCAGGGCGCCATCGGCCTCAGTGGTAGCCGCCGCCATACTGGGCTCCGGCGCGGTGACGGACGCCCCACTTGAAGTTGCCGTTGTAGTCTGTCTTGACGAAGGTGTAGACGGGTCCCACCCTGCCCCTGGGGTAGCTCTTGGCGATGGGCGCCGGGTAGGGCGACTCCCGGGGCTGGCGTGAGGTGGGGGCTACTACTGCTTCTTCTGCTGCTGAAGCTGCTGCTACTGGCGCTGTAAACCAAGTTCCTCATTAGTCTCTCAAGTCAACCAGTTCATTCTCTTGAGCGTCCGACACTAAACTGCTAATTCTAACCTCCCCAAGGACCCACGAACAGAAAACGGGACAGGACGTCAATTTCGCGAGCCGCTGCCAATTTTTAGTACACCAGTTTTTGGCCTTAGGGGCCAAAATGTTGTTTCCCCCTGAACAATACGTCGTGGACGTCAAAATGCGACGTATTGTCCAGGGGACTAGGCTGGGTCAACAGTGTTGCCACACCCGTGTTAATCGTACTAACGATACACTGGCTACACTGTAAATACCAGATACACATATGTATACATGATGCATGTGTAATATATATATATATATATATATATATATATATATATATATATATATATTATATATATATATATATATATATATATATATATATACACCATTATCAACGCTATGCAAACGCCACACTATGTATATCAGCCACACAAACGTGCTATGTATACGAGTATCTTTTTTTTTACATTATATATAAATAGCTTACTCATATATGCGTCACTAAATACGTCACACTAATATTAATATGTCAAACTATGACTGTAACTCTTGTGACGGCGCGTAACACCACAATTCTGGCCATCACGGAGAGTATACCATTAGCGTTATACTAAGAATACGTCACACACCTGCTATACACAGACAATCGCATACTTTAAGTATATACAATTAACATGCTGAAGTCCAGACCCCAACGTCAGGTCAAAGTTTTTTTAACAATCGTGATTGTTGACAGCTCACCAGATTGTAGTGCATGATGGATTGTTACCTTACATGACAACTGAACACTGCGTGAACACATACTAGGGGTTGCAGAACACAACAGAGGGAAGAAAATGGCAGAACACTAGAATAGAGGGAAGAAGATGGCAAGTTGCTATATACAAGATATCAAGAGATCTCACCGAAGTCGTCATCCAGGAGAACTGCTCTCTTGCTGATGAAGTGGGCCAGGTGGTCCACGTGGCCCAGGTGGTCCACTTGGCCCACCAAATAGTCCCCGTTGGCTCCATTCACCGCTACCACCACCAGCGCTGCTGCTGTCAACACCTACACACAAAAAACACCTGTAATTAGTCCTCTATGCACCACAACTGACTTGCTCGTCAAATATTTCCTGACTTGCTCGTCGAATATTTCATACACCTGCCTGAATTAGTTTTGCGTATCTGTCGCGTACACACCTGACTGACTTACTCGTCGACCACCACCACCTCTAACATGTGCGCCCGTATACATGTTTTACTCTCACAAACACCTGACACGCCTGCAAAACCACTTTAAGAAGGTGAGAGAAACATGTATTAACATGTATTATGTCACTATACACCACCTGTCACATGTGGACTTTGTCACATGTATATGCCAAGTCTACACATGTGATTAGGTGCATTAAACTTCGTTAAATTTCGTTAACACCCTAAAAGGCTTCCAATTCCCCTGACAATTCTATCTATCAGACAATCCTATCCAATCCTATAACCTATCAATCCTCTAACCTATACAATCCTATAACCCTGACTAGTCACTAAATATGTTGACTAGTCAAAATACGTGACACACACACACATCTGCCTTACTAGTGACCACACATATGACTACTGGCGTAACCTTGACGCCAGCAGGTGTGTCTACACACATGTAAACTTTGGTGTTGATCCGCTGGGTCTTCACTTTACCTTGGTGAACATCCAGGTATATGAACAGACATGCACATATACGTTCATCCATCAGCAGATACACACACACACACATATGACTTACATCTGACTCATGTTGCACTTGCCTCATTGAAACAGCTAACACACAGCTGTAACGTTATTATTGCAGCCTCGTGTATTCTGCAACCATAAACGTTTAGGTAGTGTGTGTGTGTGTGTGTGTGTGTGTGTGTGTGTGTGTGTGTGTGTGTGTGTGTGTATGTGGGGCTGTGTGTATGTGTGGCTGTGTGGATGTGGGGGTGGGGGTTCTGTATGTTTAAATGTTTTTGTGAATAGAAGAAGAAGAATGTCCAGGAGCACGATAACGAGACCTTAATCAACTTCCCACGTCGTAAACATTACAACTATCGTGACATTAATGTTTAATTGGCACAATTCTGCTATTCAAATCATCATCGAGTTGTACACTTTCATAATCAATACAAACAAAATATTATTTCAAATACCGTCAGTAATAATTAAAAAAAAAAAAAATTGTAAATGCAAAAATTGAGTAGATTCTCAAAATTCTGAATAATTTTAAAACTACTGAACTCTCTCTTGGAACTTTGAAAGGAAGTATTCATCACAGTGAATCCCAACTTACCAACTTAATAACTGCCATAATGCTGCCTTGTTGAGCGCTGCTGAACTTGTGTTGATGCCAGACTCAGCTGTTGCGTCTTATATACGTTTTTCAAACGTCACGGCGAGGTTGCCAGATATTGCTATCAATGAATGCTTTATGACGCACAGGCCAGAGACCAATGACGTTTTTCATTCGAGGAATATAATGATGAATGATATTCATCTTATAATTTGATTCGTACATTTGCGGGTCAATAATAATTTGCAGTTCGTGTTTTTTTATTAATGATGACGGTACGGAATCTGGCGAGAGCCGGCAAGGCGATCACTGCCTGTGGGGACGCTTTTCACCACCAGGTGGAACCTCACGTCACTTTCCCTATAACTCTCACTCCTGGAAGCCACGCTCTGTAAACACTGCCTGGTGGGGGGGACCCCGCGACACTTCTGTGACCCCCCCACGACACATGTGTGCCCCCCACGACACATGTGTGACCACCACGACACATGTGTGACCCCAAGACACACGTGACCCCAACAGATGTGGTCCTCACTTCACGTGGCCCCTCATAATACACGTGGCCCTCTACCCTCATAACACAGATGGATGTTGAAGCCATGGGTGGTGGATGTTGAAGCCATGGGTGGTGGATGTTGAAGCCATGGGTGGTGGATGTTGAAGCCATGGGTGGTGGATGAGCCCCGGGCCCCCTAGAGAAAGTACCAGCCCTCACCAGACTTTCTAAGGCAGCGCCTTTAAGGCTGAAATTCCACTTAACACCAATTAATTGATAACATTTAGTATTCCACATTTGTGAAAAAGATATTGTAACTTGTTAAGGTAAGAGATCTACTATTGTACCTTCAATATTAGACCAGTCTAGCAAGGGTACCACATAAGAGTACCGTATCAAAGTGGCCACACCAAGTGCCATAGGTTAGGACTAGCAAGAGAACAATGCAAGTGGACCTAGCAAGAGAACAACGCAAGTGGACCTAGCAAGAGAACAACGCAAGTGGACCTAGCAAGAGAACAATGCAAGTGGACCTAGCAAGAGAACAACGCAAGTGGACCTAGCAAGAGAACAACGCAAGTGGACCTAGCAAGAGAACAACGCAAGTGGACCTAGCAAGAGAACAACGCAAGTGGACCTAGCAAGAGAACAACGCAAGTGGACCTAGCAAGAGAACAACGCAAGTGGACCTAGCAAGAGAACAACGCAAGTGGACCTAGCAAGAGAACAACGCAAGTGGACCTAGCAAGAGAACAACGCAAGTGGACCTAGCAAGAGAACAACGCAAGTGGACCTAGCAAGAGAACAACGCAAGTGGACCTAGCAAGAGAACAACGCAAGTGGACCTAGCAAGAGAACAACGCAAGTGGACCTAGCAAGAGAACAACGCAAGTGGACCTAGCAAGAGAACAACGCAAGTGGACCTAGCAAGAGAACAACGCAAGTGGACCTAGCAAGAGAACAACGCAAGTGGACCTAGCAAGAGAACAACGCAAGTGGACCTAGCAAGAGAACAACGCAAGTGTACCTAGCAAGAGAACAACGCAAGTGGACCTAGCAAGAGAACAACGCAAGTGTACCTAGCAAGAGAACAACGCAAGTGGACCTAGCAAGAGAACAACGCAAGTGGACCTAGCAAGAGAACAACGCAAGTGGACCTAGCAAGAGAACAACGCAAGTGTACCTAGCAAGAGAACAACGCAAGTGGACCTAGCAAGAGAACAACGCAAGTGGACCTAGCAAGAGAACAACGCAAGTGTACCTAGCAAGAGAACAACGCAAGTGGACCTAGCAAGAGAACAACGCAAGTGGACCTAGCAAGAGAACAACGCAAGTGGACCTAGCAAGAGAACAACGCAAGTGGACCTAGCAAGAGAACAACGCAAGTGGACCTAGCAAGAGAACAACGCAAGTGTACCTAGCAAGAGAACAACGCAAGTGGACCTAGCAAGAGAACAACGCAAGTGGACCTAGCAAGAGAACAACGCAAGTGTACCTAGCAAGAGAACAACGCAAGTGGACCTAGCAAGAGAACAACGCAAGTGGACCTAGCAAGAGAACAACGCAAGTGGACCTAGCAAGAGAACAACAAAAGTGTACCTAGCAAGAGCACTTTACATCAGGAGTACAACAAAAAGTATAAAGCCCAAGTGGTATTTTTTCCTACCACAAATAATAAATTTAGTAGCCACACATTTACAATGCTAACCAGCATATATAAATTTTCTTCTGTCCTCCATGGACAGGGTGAGAGATCTGATAAACATATAGTTCAGTGATTTATTGAACAATCAACCACAGAAGGTGATTGAATTGCATTTCAAACGCTAATCTAACCTACATACATAAATACATAGATATACGTCTGTCCTCCATAAACAGTGTTCGAGGTATGTTCTTTTACTCATAATGTGATTAATGCGCGTTAGGCTAGGTTAGGTTAAGTTAGGTTAGGTTAGGTTAGGTTAAGTTAGGTTAGGTTAGGTTAGGTAAGGCTAAGTTAGGTTACGTTAAATGGAATTCTGGCCTGAATGACCCTGTATCTCTTTCTTTTTTCCATTTCCTGGTCCTTGATCTAAATATAAACAAACAAATACATAAACCAGTTCAAAGACTGGTAGATTAAGACCACCACGAGAACCACACAAACGACTGGTCTCACTGCTGTAATTAAGACTGCTTTAATTGGCTTATTAGTTACGAACATTGAAACTACAGAGAGAAGACTCTGGACTCACGTGACCTGAGAGGTAGTTTAGGGCACCCAACAGCTCCTTAACTAATACCCAAATGAGGACTGGCGTCAATTACGGGCTCACCATAGTCCGTGCTACATGGACACTTCGTTCTGAGTAGCTACATCTAAAACAACAACAACAATAACAACAACGAGGACTGGCGTGAGTGTTGTATTTATAAAATGTAGTTGTAAAGATTACATACTTTAGACTTTAGATTATCAGCCTTCTACTTTATCTAAAGTAGAAGTCTGTATGACTGAACAGGTAATACTGCTATTACAACGGACTATTAAAGTGTAAATATTTGAAGTATTTTCTTTTTAATCTGGATATTTTTCCCTCGAATTTTCCCCGTAAATGTAATGGGATTTTGTAAATGGGATTTTATTTGTAATTGTATTCACTCATATTTACATATTGTTCGTGGTTACGAACACAAATTTTTAGGTCCGTATTCCCCCTCGTTGTTGTTGTTGTTGTTACAGATTCGCTACCTGGAACAAAAAGTTCCAAGTAGCACGGGCTATGGTGAGCCCGTATTATTCCCCTCGCTGGTGGAATGTTGCAGAACGGCGCTTCTGTTAACACCCCCCCCCCTAAGTGCTTGTGTCTTGCGAGTCTATATGTAAAATTTGTTTGTCTTAATTTTCGTGGCCATCAATTTTCATTTTTCATTCTCAGATAAAAATTATACTTTTCAGAGGCTACTCTGAACATTAAATAACGCATTTGTTCCTCTATTATATATATATATATATATATATATATATATATATATATATATATATATATATATATATATATATATATATATATATATATATATATATATTAATTTTTATATAATTTTATATTTTTAACGCGTTTTATATTTTTCAAAGGATATTGATATTTATTATTAAAAAATTATGTAAATAAAAAAAAGGCACAAATTTTATGACATACAATTTCGGGCGGACGCGGACACAATTTTTTGTATACAATACAATTTCAAATTCAAACTAATATAAACTTCCTAAATGAGTGTAGTAAAATAGAGTCAATTCACAACAAATCAAAATGTTATATATTTTAACCAGTCGGAATAACATCACAACAGGTATTCGTTATAATTATATATTGTATAAAACGGCAGTAAAGCCAAGTTTAGGAGGTGGGGCCCGGAAGTTTGAGCTCAACCCTAGCAAACACAGCAATAAGATGAATACAGATCTTTGAGTACTCACAAACACATCAGCAAGATGAACACACATCTTTGAGTACTCACAAACACATCAGCAAGATGAACACAGATCTATGAGTACTCACAAACACATCAGCAAGATGAACACACATCTTTGAGTACCCACAAACACATCAGCAAGATGAACACACATCTTTGAGTACTCACAAACACAGCAACAAGGTAAATACACATCTTTGAGTACCCACAAACACATCAGCAAGATGAATACACATCTTTGAGTACCCACAAACACATCAGCAAGATGAACACACATCTTTGAGTACTCACAAACACATCAGCAAGATGAACACACATCTTTGAGTACTCACAAACACATCATCAAGATGAACACACATCTTTGAGTACCCACAAACACATCAGCAAGATGAACACACATCTTGGAGTACTCACAAACACATCAGCAAGATGAACACACATCTTTGAGTACTCACAAACAGAAAATGCCTGTGAACAAGGCCTTTGGACATCCAAGTAGTCAAACTAAACGCACGAGGCCATTTAGAAAGCTAGAAAACATGTGGACTCAATGCAACGTTACAGGAGCTGAGCAGCTCCGGATAACAGGACCTGTGGACCAGTTTCATGAGAATTCCTGTAAGAGATGGTTTATCCCAGTGTTTCTATCTACCCAATTTTTTTAATAGTTTCGTGTAACATGATGCAGTTAAGGTTACAGCTTTGCGTTAATTTACACATTAATGCAGAGTGTGGATTTACATCAGAGCTACTTAAACATAAGCTAAGTGCATATAAGTTCACAAATACATATAAATGAGTACACAGGTGAGTACATATATGGAGCAAACTCGGGTCACAAGGTGACTGTAGAAGATTTTCGCAATTATTAAAAAAAGCAGCCTGGATTCCACGCAAATTTGTGTAATAAGAGCAGTAGGCTCAGAGATCCGGATAGCCCTCAAGAACCCACACCAGGAGAGCTGCATAGTGTCACGAGAACGCGAGAGGTATCTGTGAGAAGATACGGAGATGGTACTGTGACCGGTGAGTCCCTGAACGCAGGTTCGATCCCATTATATATACTCAATATTCTAAAA